CCGAACCGAACCGGGCCGAGCGCAACATGAACGAGTCGGCGGGACTGCGCTTCCGGCGGCTGCACCGCCCGCAGGTGATCACCGACGAGCTGCCGGAGCAGCGGCACAAAGGGTCCAGGTAAGAGCCGCTGGGTTCTCATCGAGGCGGTGTCGAGCAGCCCACGGGGACACGCTGCGTGTTTCTGTTAGCCTCCGTGTTCTCACGCACACACGGTGACTTGCGTCGTTAGCTCGTGATGCGCACCTGTAAATGCGCAGGTGTGTTTACGAGGACGGCGGCCTGCAGTAATGGAGCTAGTGTGGGAAACGCGGTTGATTGTGGGGGTCAGGTGGGTCAGCCCGGGTGGGTCCCTGAGGAGCCCCGCGCTGCAGTCACGTCTCTGTTTCTGCTCTCAGCACCTACAGCGGGAAGATCTTCCGGGTCACGCTGCTCTCTCTGGGCGTCCTCCTGCTTCTTCCTCTCCTGGTCATCATCCTCATCCTCGAGTCTCCCATCAAGCCTGAAGTCTTCACGTGAGTGATGCGAGTCAGCCGCTTAATGAACAATTAGTTTGGCTACAAACATCAGAAATTAGTTTGGATGTTTTCAAAATAAAATCGTGTGAAAGATCCCAATGTTTCAATCCTGGAACAACTAATGAATAAACAGAAAGTAACTGTGTAATCTGAAACTCAGAGAAAGTCACAATATTCACGTTAAATCCTTTTTGAAATAAAAGTTAACGAGTTTTTGCTGCTGCCCCTGCTGGTCGGCCGTGGTGCTGCAGGCTGAAGGAGCCGCCCATGATGAAGGGCTGCTGGGAGCCCAACCTGAAGCTCCGAGAAGCTCAGAGACTGTTTGAGGACCAGCTCGTCGGCCCCGAGTCCATCGCCAACATCGGAGGTTGGTGTCAGACGTCGACGGCGACCATGGCGAGGAGCGCCGAGAGCTGACGGATTGTCCCTCTGTGTCTGCAGATGTTCTGTTCTCGGGAACAGCTGACGGGAAAATCGTGAAGCTGGTCGGTCGGAGGATCCACGTGGTGACGAGACTCGGGAAGCTGCCGTGTGGTGAGTCGTGCCCGTGTGTGCTTCCGGTCTTCACGTGCTGTCAGAGTTTGTGGGTGTGGCCTGGACTTCAGGTTAGAAACACTTCAGCATGTCCAGGTTTCATGTGTTAGCCGGCTAGACGAAACCTAAATGATTGGCCGGTGTCCAGGTGCGACGCGGCGCTCACCTGTGTCCAGGTGTACCCGCCTCCCTCTGCTCAGGGCTTTAAACTTTACGTCATGTGACGGAGCTGCAGGTGAGACGGCCTGAGCGAGGGTGACGGGATCAAACCGTCAGCCTGCGTTGAGCAAGGCGTTACTGTCAGCCGGCCTGCAGCCACACGCTTGCTTCACTTTGGAGTTTCCCCATAAATAACTGACAGTTCGACCTTCAGCCCTGATCCGCTGCTTTCAACACAAACACGCGAGAGACCTCGCATGAACCCGGCGACACGCTCAAACCTGCGTCACAGCACACCTGACACGCAGGTAACAGCACGCCGTCTGCTGGCTCCAACTCAAACCAGCTGATTAAACTGAAGTCTCTGGTTTAAGTTTAAACTTTCAGCCAGGTGTGTCAGGAACAGGAAGTTCAGGTCAGCGAAGGTAGCGTGAGCTCGCTGTGGTGCTTCCTCCAGCAGGAAGCAGAAGCTCTGAGTTTTGTTGACGTTTAGAGCCTGTTTGTGCCAAAATAAACGAATCGAACAACCTGAGAAGATTTCTTTTTAACCTTCCTCACACGTCTGTGTCCAAGCACACCTTGCACCCTTTCTGATTGGTCGATGTCCAGCAGGTTCCAGAGAGGACGAGCCCAGCTGCGGGAGGCCGCTGGGGATCAGAGTCGGACCCAACGGGACGCTGTTTGTAGCCGATGCCTACCTGGGTCTGTTCGAGGTCAACCCCACCACAGGTGAGTGGTCGTACAGCCTTCCCACGCTTCCTGCCTGCTGGGCGCCCAAAAGTCGAATTCTGGGTTTTACTGTAGCACATCTGGATCAAAGCTAACAGCTGGACTGTGTTCGTGCTGAGTCACGTGATCAGGTGGAGCGGACTGTGTGTTTCTTTGCAGGTGAGGCGACCAGGTTGGTGAACGGCGGCCAGGTGGTCGCAGGGAGGAAGCTGTCATTTATTAACGACGTGGCGGTGACGCAAGATGGAAAGAAGGTGTACTTCACCGACTCCAGCAGCAGGTGGCAGCGGAGAGACTACATGCACCTCATCATGGAGGCCACGCCCGACGGCCGGTACCTGCGTCCAACGAGCGTCTGAGAGCGCTGACAGTCAAACGCTTTATTAGAATGGCGTTTATTAATTATCCATACGTCGAAACATCTGTGTATCAGTTCACTTTAGTGTGATTGCTACTTCCTGTTTGTGACATGTCACATTAAAAGCCTGTCAGCGGTTCTCTAACACGAGCCGTTTCATCCGCAGCGTCCTCGAGTACAACACCGAGACCAAGGAGCTGACGGTGGTGATGGAGGACATGCGATTCCCGAATGGCATCCAACTGCTGCCGGACGAGGAGTCGGTGCTGGTGGCGGAGACCACCATGGCCCGGATCCGCAGGTAACCCGCCCGACTCACCTGTGCCTGCGAGAGCATCCGAGGCAGAGAAGTTCAGAACGTGCAGCACAAACGAGAAACCTCAGAGTTAAAAAGATTTAACGTAAAATCTCGAGCAAATCAAACCAGGCCGCCATCGGCGTTCTTTACTTCCTGTGTGAGCCGCTCATGTACGATGCATGTTAAACAACCGTCTGCGATGGAGCGCGATGGCGCTGATGCTGGATCTCGGTTGCCGTGGAAACAGGCTCTGAGATTGTCCAACCCTTTTTTTTCTTTCTTTCTTTTTTTAACCTACATCAAGTGTGTGAGTGAGAGAGGGAGTCACGTTCTGCGTTTGTGGGGTTCACATGTTCGCTGCAGTGAGGACGTCTGTTTCACGGGGACGCGTCTGCACTGCGAGGACCGTTAGTGAGGTTCACACCTGCTCAGGCACGGTTACGTAACATGTTACGTCAGCGACACACTGGTCACACACACACAGACAGACGTGAGTGTGTATAGGTATTAATGTCTTTGTGGGGACCAACAGTCCTTATTGGGACACAAATCCACAGCCCCCCCAGTGTGAAAGTATTTGAGACTCAAAATGTGGTTTTGGTGTCAGGTTACAGTTATGTTTAGAGTAAGCAATGAGATGTCCCCACGAGGATATGAATACACGTGTGTGTGTGTGTGTCTGTGTGTGTGTGCGCGCGTCAGGTGTTTTGCTTCCTTCCTGTCAGGCTCTGGCCTGAGCGGCGTGTGAACAGTAAACAGGTCTGTGGTCACGTCTGTTTTGAGTTACAGCCAATCAGAAACATGCAGTTTGATTACACTCAGGTCACGATGACATAAATCAGTGTTTCTGTTGCAGCTGTCAGTCTGACCTCTGCAGGATTTTAAGCTTTAATCATCTTTTCTGATTAAAGAGACTAAAACATAAACATTGCAAAAATGTTTTTTAAGCTGCTTTTGTTTTGAAATAAATAAAATGTTTGTAAACATTTAATAAAAAATGGATATATCTGCTGGGCGAGGTTCCCTGTGACGTGAGCGTTTGGGTTTTGGCGCCCCAGAGGCCGCTCAGCATCACAGACAGCTGATCAGTGTCATGTGATGCTCTTCTGCACCAGGGTCCACGTGGCCGGGCTGAATAAAGGCGGGATGGACACGTTCGTGGACAACCTGCCAGGTTTCCCTGACAACATCCGCCCGAGCTCCACCGGAGGTTACTGGGTGGCCATGTCGGCGGTGAGACCGAACCCCGGCTTCTCAATGCTGGACTTCCTGTCCCAGAGACCCTGGATCAAAAAGTTCATATTCAAGGTAAAAACAGACTTTATACACACGTGACGGCGGTCACGTG